TTTTACACGAGGTTTTACGACTATATCCACCGGCAGTAATATTCAACCGAACGATCCACCGGAAAACAAAGTTGGCGGGAATCACTCTCCCGGCGGGAGTCCACCTCCTCTTGCCCGTGATATTGATCCACCACGACCCGGAACTCTGGGGCCGGGACGTCAAGGAATTCAAACCCGAACGGTTTTCTGAAGGGGTCGCTAAAGCAACCAAAAATCGACTTTCGTATTTCCCTTTTAGCTGGGGTCCGCGCAACTGCATCGCCAATAATTTCACCCATATGGAGACAAAGGTGGCCTTAGCTTTAATCCTCACTCGATTTTCGTTCGAGCTTTCCCCGTCATATGTCCACGCGCCGTCATACATCGTAACATTACAACCACAGTGTGGGGTCCACCTAATGTTGACCCGGATTCGACCAAACGGGTCGGCGTGATGTAATTATCATTTATGTGTAGCAAACGTTGTAGAATGTCCGATTTAAGATTTGTTTGCATTTTTGTGTTGTTTGTATTGAATTTTTTTATGAGAATTAATTAGACCAATCAATCCAAACTGAACTCAAAGCTAACATAAAATAATTCATCATCACTATTTTTAATATTATTAATGTAATTAAATGATATCAATCAATTATCTTTTCATAGTACATTAATTTTATTTCAGTATTCATTTATTCACATAAATTTAACTATGCATCACTTTGAATTACACATCTCTTATTTTTACATCAAATCAACTTTAATTATTTTATTTTAAATATTGTAATCTCACTCAACTTATAATGCAAAAAAATCAAAACTTTGCATATTGAAAATTACCTTCGTATTTGGAACCAAAATTCAAATACTGGATGGAGTACTTGAAGAGCATACAAAAACCACCTAAGAAATATAAATTTTGAACCAAAATGAAGTACGTTGCAAAAATAAACCACTAAATATTTCCTTAATTTGGGAAGCATACAACATCATATGAAGATTAACATTACATACATATCCTTTAATTTGCAATCGTTTCATGAACGAGGAATTAAGGATATGACCCGCTGAGGAATTCGGGTCGGTCGATAACTTTTATCTAGCCAAACAACTGTGGATTTCGCCTCCAGAATTGGCTGCATGCATAAACAAATTTAATATGAAACTTACTTACAGCTAAATATTTTGTTCTTTATAGTTTATACTACCAATTTGTATATTAATTTCATTTTTTCCTCATTTTGAATAAGAAAAAAATTAAATTACACCCAATAATTGAATTCGGGTAGATGGCAATTTTGAAAAGNTTCTGTCCATTTTTTCCTTCTTAAAGATACCGGGCCTAAATTATAGAGAAAAATTACAGTATATAGAAAAATCTAAGAAACAAAGACATAAAATTAAAAAAATAAATAAATACTTCATGGAGGAAAATATGTGATAAGTTAATAGTTAACAATTTAACATACCTCTAAGTTTGGCAGCTTGAAAATGAGATTCTCATAGTACAACCGAACAGCAGAAAAATCACACAGCCTCACCTTCAGCAAGAACCTATCCCCACTCTACAAACACAAATAAAAAGAATAAAAAACCATATCATAGAAAAATTGTATTAATATCCTCAAAAAATCGAATTAATATATATATATATATATATATATATATATTTAAAAAATAAAAATAAAATACCCTCAATGGTGCAATGTATTTGAGTGATAACTCTTTCAGAGCTACCACATCAACAGCAGCAGTTAAGCCAAGCATTTCAGATAATCTAAATTGACCTGTTCATATTCATATGTGTTTCTAATTGTTAACCATTGTAAATAAACAACAAATTTAAATCACAAAACAAACACATGTATAAAATCTCACCATGTTGACAATAATTCGCATAAACGGCATTATTCACCACTCCATATCGATCGCATTCGTAATCCCGAACCTCTAATTTCATTTCATGGTACCATTTCATCCTGCCAAACCAAAAAATAAAAATAAAAAATGAAATCATACGCACACAAAACTCTATAGTATTATTTATTTTCTCAAATGTCATATAATCCAGACATTTTTCTACTCCAAGTAGTCATTTCTTCCATGAATACATAATACAACCGTATTTTTGACTAAAAATAGAAATATTGTTCAGAGTACCCTTTGTCATCCCGAGTTTTATCGAGAACAAGACCATTATAGTTCTCCCGGACAAACCGACATGAGATTGTCGGAAAATTTGGCGAACGATAGTTTCGAATTTGCAACTTAGGTATAATAAATGAGTGAGTTGAAGGATTATAATGCAACATTGTATTGTAGTGAACTTATTCACTAAAAAGCCTCATATATAGATGTTGATATATATATTTGTCCAACGCTGATTGGTTCGGAGAAATTAATGATATTTACTTTTGGTAGTTGGGTTTAGATTCATTGCAAGCTTCAATTCTTTATATGTGTGTGTGTAAATGCTCTTTCATGATGACATTATCTACAAACTGCAACAATTGTAGGTACGAAAATTTAAAACACAAAATGTCATTGTCGTGTTTGGCCGTACAATTAAATATAGTGAATGTGGAGATTTTAATTTTCCGATCAACAACCATTTGTTAAAAATGTGTGTATGGTCCGATGGTTAAAACTTCGACCCGTCAAATCTACGGTATCTACCCATAATGTTAAGTGAATGAGTTGAAAAAAGAAAAATCTACGATATTTGAAAATTCTTTCATTTTATCGATTTTCTTCTTTTTTGTTTTTTTTCGGATTTTTGGGTTATTGGAAAATTACTTTGTTTACCTACAAACTTCTTTAATTGCAAATGTACTAACTTTCCCTGTTCTGATTTATTTTTGTATTTCAGTCCTAAATTACATTTTTTCTAATTTATAGCTCGTTTATGAATTATTTATATACATTTCGTTTTTAATGTCTTGTGTTTGTAAATAAAAAATATATATAATAAATATTTAAAAGGACTGCCATTGGCTGGCTTAGTTATAGGCATGAGCTTGTGCAGTTATCCAGAAATGGGCTAGTTTTGTATATTTGACCTAATTAATTAGCCCACATTTGTAAGCTCCACTTAATCTCCAAACTGAGCTTTCAAATACCTGATTCATTAGAAGACTGGCCCAATTTATACATAAACCAGCTATAACTAGATATAAAATATATAATAATTTAAATAAAATATATATAAACTATAAAAGTTAGATATTTATAATTAAATTAAAAAAATCATAAATATAAAAATAAAATAAGATTTGAAGGTAAATGGTGAAATTTTCTGAACAATATATTACAAAATAATTATTCTTGATTTTATGTGTATGACTTGGGGGGAATCCTACTTTTTTTCAAATTAGTGCATAACAATTTAATTAATCTTATTCCTAAAAGCATCAACCATTCTTGACTTGAATATGTCAGTTTTGTATTGACGGACATATTTTGTTTACAAATGCATATTTTCATTATAAAATGTCATATTTTATGAAGAACATAAATATAAGTATGACTTTTAATAGTACAAATATGCATTTCTATTCAAATAGTATGATCGGTCGACCCATCTAACAGCGAGACCATCTCACAAAAACTTGTGTTCTTGAATTAATACATCCATTATTTTGATGTCTTCTCAATAAAAAAAAAAATATATAAATATATATAAAACAGTCTCGTTGTCATGTCCATATGGGTACAAAATAATATGTCCATCAATTATTGTGGTATAAGATTAATATATTATACACTATATGAGTATATATATTACTGAAAAAAATTACTAGATTTTGACACAGAAACTGATGAATATATTTATATCTCATTGTATCCGTTTTAATACGTCAATGATGAGTATGCTAACAATTTCATAGATGTAATACGCAATATTATCATTAGAATTCATATATAGTTTTCACAATTAAGATGATGATTGTGGGAATGCAATGATATATGGTATTCACTCCTGCAATGATTGGGATTTACCTTTGAAATTTCAAAGTGATTCAAAAAATAAATAAATAAATAAATAATAAAAAATTGAAAGATATGGAAAGATACGAGGATGACTTTTTAGTAAATGTAAGATTACTTTGGAATATTAAGAAAAGAAAAAGAATTAGAAAGTATCTTTTTTCAACTAAAATCCACTAACCAACCATTTTCTAACTTTCAAGTCTTTCCAATAACGAGTTTGTCTTACTTAAGTGAAATATCTTATCATGGCCTTAATAATGACCCGACAATTTTCTTTAATTTTTTCCCCCTTCTCCACATGCAAATACTTCAAATCAAGAATTGCACGCTTGATTTTATTTATTATATTAAGATTAAGTAAACCATTTTAATTTGTTCAGGAAAAATATTTATTAACCAATAAAAAAAGGGACCATACCAAAATATATGGTTTTCACGACATAGTTAGACTACTGTTAGATAATTATATATATATTTTTTGACAAATATATATATATTCAAATTGAAATTTATCTCAAATAATACAAAATTACGACATTTCACATTATCAAATATGCATTTTCATTCTAAATGTATGAAAGACAGTTCGCCTAATAATATTTAGGTTACCCAATACAATTTGATAACGAAGGAAAGACCTACCTGCCTAATCCTAATTTTTCTTATATTAAAATTCTTGTTCTTTAGTAATAAAAAGGATAAATTAAATAAAAAACCAACATTTGAATTTAACTACAGTCCAATTTTATCTGCATATGTCGAAATAATTGTCGGGCTGTCCCGTCCGTGACCCGTCAGTCATCTAAAAAAAATATTGCAGCAAAAAGATTCAGAAGCCTCACATGGAAAATTTTGTCTTTATATCTCAAGATTGTAATGTAAGTTATATAAATAATCTCTTTGAACCTCTATTTTAGAAAGTTATATTGTAATATAATCATATCAACCCCTTTATGCACTTTTTAATTTGGTCATTATTTTTTTTTTATTCAGATAATGTCTTCATGTTTATTAGTTTTAATGATTATTTCTACATATATTTTATTATTTAAAACGAGATAATATGTCTTAATGTTTATTAGTTTTATTGATTATTTCTACATTTTATCATTTAAAACATCACATTTTTGTTAATTTGTTTTGCACTTTTCGATTTAAAGTTCCACGTCTGTTGATTTCCACGTTAATTTTCTCTAGTATGATACGCTTGTCATTCACTCGTTTGTGTAACTTTGATCTTTCAAAAAATTGTTAGTCTAACATACTCAATTTTTGTTCGGTGAAACTACTAAGACAAATAATTATTATTTTATTGCGTTAATTTGGTAATTCAAAATTATCTATGCCCCAAATATGACTTGTTTCTTTCACTTAGGTAGATAATATTTCCTCATTCTTTCTTACTTTTATTGACAATGATATCAACTAACTTTTCAATTTCTGATTTAAAGTTCCTTTGGAATGGCACGCCCATCGTTCACTCATTTTTTTTTCATTTTTTTTTTCTTTAATAGATTGGTAGACAAACATACTTTAATTTCTATTAATGAGCCTAATGCGAATAGATGACTATCAAACAAACTTTGTCAACGCAAACCATTCTAAAATTGACCAAAGAGCGTTCAAAACGACCAATAAAGTGCAAAAAAATTGAAAACCGTACATTTTCAGACGAAAATTTTAACAATTAAAATAATATAAAAATCAAGAGTGCCAAAAAAGTCGCGGTAAACCACCCTAATTCAAATGGCCAAATACTTTTGCAAATTGCATCCCTTGCTATAAACAGTATGAAAAAAAAAAACATCAAAGTAAGTCCTAGAGATGTTAAATGGTCCTTGGCCCGACGGGTCGGCCCGTTTAGCCCGAAAAAAAAGAGAGTGTAGGCCATTTATTAGTAGCCTGTCTAAATCAGGGCTTTTTAGGCCCGAACCGTTTAGCCTGAAACCCGCTAGAGCTGGCCTGTTTAACTAGGATTGAACGGGGTAAATATTTGCATCAAGTAAGTAATATGCTCTTAGATTTCTTGTATATTACAATTTTGATATTTCACTTCACATGTAAGTATGAGTTGTAATGGATTATTATGATTTTGAAAGATAATTAACAATATTGTTATTGTACTTCACACCAAAATATTTAAACCGATTAGAACAACTAATAAGGAAACACATGAAACATAGTGATAGACAGTAAATACTAAATAGCCGTTGAAAACAATCGTTATTAGCCGTTGTTATTTTTTTTGTATTTTTTTATTCCTTTTATTTTTTATTTTTTTTATATTATTATTATTATTATAGCTCGCATAGCCCGTTTAGCCCGAAGTCCGCTAGGGTTAGGGTTAGGTTCTTTTATCGGTAGCCCATTTAAATTCGTGCTTTTTAGGCCCGGACCGTTTAGTTCAAAGCCCGCTAAGATTAGCCCAAAATCGCTAGGACTAACCCGTTTAACATCTCTAATAAGAAGAAATACTATGGAACCAATGGTTGACTCCTTTATGGAGTCAACCACCAATGTTATAGTGCCACGTAGGCCATGTGAAGTTAATATTTATTTACATGGCTTACGTTACGTGGCACATTGGTGGTTGGGTTCGTATCATTTCTCGTCTAATAAGTCCCTATATCAATCCATATACTCCCCACAACATTTGACTCACAAAAACTAATAAAAAAAATGGAAGTCCAAGTAAGCTCAATCTTCTTCTCGATCCTTTTACTTGGATTGACAGCATTAACACTCAAGTTCTTGAACTGGGTTTGGTTCAAACCCAAAAGGCTCGAGAAAATCCTTCGAAATCAAGGCCTCCATGGAAACTCTTACAGATTCTTGCTTGGAGACATGAAGGACTTAATCTCAGTCACAAAACAAGAACAGCCTAAATCGATCCGAATTTCGGATCATCTCACCCCGCATATTCTACCATATTACCACCAAATCCGTAGCAAGTACGGTAAGCTAACTAAAATTCGAACAAATCAAGATTTTAGCTTTATTCGCAACTTTATTTTTTTCAAAAAAAAAAAAAAAAATAGAAAAAAGATCGTTTTCTTTTCGTGGATTATAGGCGATAATTCGTTTCTATGGTTCGGGCCCTTTCCAAGACTCATTATTTGCGAGCCGCAGCTTTTGAAGGAGATTCTCACGAGGACCGATGTTTTTCAAAAGCCTCTTCCCGACCCGATTGGCCAAACGGTCGCGGGCGGGCTTTTGTTTCTCGAGGATGATAAATGGGCCAAGCACCGAAAGATTATCAACCCGGCTTTTCATATGGAGAAGTTGAAGGTGATTGATTGAATTGATTAATTTACTCTGCATTCAAACAGGGCATTTTGTATTATAATTTATTATAGGAGTCTTTATTTATTTTTTCCTTTTTTTTTTAAGCATTTGAAGTGTGGATTTCTTATGCGAACTTCTAATTATGTAGTCGTTCGGTAAAAGTTCGTGTCTTTTTAAATTTTTAATTGACATATATGCAGAATAAGATACCCGCGATGCGTTTGAGCTGCGCAAGCATGATCGAAAAATGGGAAGCCTTGTTTTCGGGTAGTGATGAGCCTCGGGAAATAGACGTGTGGCCTTATCTCGAGAATTTGACAGGCGATGTGATTTCTCGGGCCGCATTCGGAAGTAGCCATGAAGAAGGGAGAAGGATTTTCGAGCTCCAAAAGGAAAAGGTGAAGCTCGTTTTGGAGTTGTTGCAGTTCATATTCATCCCCGGATGGAGGTAAATTCAAATTGACGTTTTGTATCGCAAATTTCTTAAAGGTCGAACAACAGAAGAAAAAAGATAGGTTATTGCTTGACTTAGATTGTCTATAGTTAGAAAGATTTTTAAACTACATGCTTTCGCCCGATAGATTTGTTCCGACCAAGGCAAACAAGAGAATGAAAGCGTACTCGGAGGAAGTCGAGTACTTGTTGAGGGGTATTATCGACCAAAGGATCAAGGCAATGAGAAGGGGAGAAAAAGTTTGTGACGATTTGCTAAGCACATTGTTGGGGTCGAATTCGAATTCGAACGAAACTCACGAAAACCAAACGGGCACGAAAATGAGCATCGAGGATGTGATTCACGAGTGCCGACTCTTCTACTTTGCGGGTTCCGAAACAACTTCGCTTTTGCTCGTGTGGACAATGGTGATGCTCGCCAAGCATCGAGAGTGGCAAGACCGTGCGAGAGAGGAAGTCTCTCGAGTGCTTTCGAACGACGAGCCGAATTTCGACAACCTTAATCGCCTCAAAATCGTAAGATCTCTTCTTGATTCTCAACTACTTTTCATTCTTATTATAGTAACAATTAAAACATCTTTTTTTTTTTTTGTTCTTAGGTGACCATGATTCTCAATGAGGTCTTGAGGCTATATCCGCCGGCCCCATTGCTCTCACGAACCGCTAAAAAGCCGGTGAAGCTTGGGAACATAAATTTACCAGTCGGTGTCGATTTGATTTTGCTAATAGGTATGCTTCACAACGACCCGAAAATTTGGGGAGATGACGCGAACGAGTTCAAGCCCGAGAGGTTTTCGGACGGGATCTCGGGCGCTACCAAAGGACAATTCTCGTTTTTGCCGTTTAGCGCAGGCCCAAAAGTATGTGTCGGGCAGCATTTCGCAATGATGGAGGCGAAGTTAGCTATGGCCGTTATATTAAAAGGCTTCTCGTTCGAGGTTTCGCCGAATTATCGACATGCTCCTTTCCCCATTATCACTCTTCAGCCACAGCATGGGGTTCCCTTGGTTTTGCAGAAGCTATAAACAGTGGGACTTGAAACTTAAAAAGAGTTATTTGCCTTTCTTCTTCACTTGTTTTTGTTAAAAGAGAGTGTGTCAAGTTTAGAGAAGTGCATGTTACATAGTTTTATTTATGGAGTGTTATGTAGGTTTTCATCACTAGTGAAAATTGGAGAGCTTTTTTGTTTTTCTTCTTCTTTCTTTTGATTTATAAAATGTGAGGGATGTTTTATGCGTATGTACTTGATTTTATGGAGAAGGCGACGAAGGATTGCAAACAAACCTCAAACTGTTCAAACCAACAAATTCAAACAAAAGAATCGAATAATATGACAAAATTGAGCCGCGTGAAATACACTCATTTAGAATTGTCACCGATTACCGATTAATATCCACAGTAATAATAGGCAGACAAACAAATGTCGTGCCACGTTGAGTACAGAGAAGTTGTAAAAATCATATAAGCAGTGGCATAATCAGACCCCGGCCATGAGGGCCAAAGGACAGGCAAGTTCGATCCTACCAATGCCGAAACAGAATTTTTATCCATCAGATCACAAATAATCACATTTAATCATGTTTGTATGTTGATCCAACGATAAAAGAACCACAACACGTAAAAACCCTAGCTGAAATTTTTGCATATTCACAAATTAATTCAGTTTGAAAAAAGAAGTTGGGTGAGAAAAGGTCAAAATAAGTAAAATAAATGCATTTTGAAGCATATAAATAAATCTTGCGAAAAATGATAGTGTGATTCTAGAATGATGGAAGTGGGTCAATATAATGAGAAAAATCAAGTTTCTCAAGGGCACATCTAATGTAATCTCATCACGCACGCACGGGGCCACTAATCAAGACTTTTCGAGAAAACTAAATTATAGCACAAAAAGATTAGAAGGCTCCTCTTTCTCACGTTTTATTCGGTCTTTAATCATTTGTTTTTAATAACTAACATTGAAAAAAAGAAAAAAAGCATTATGATTATATTATATGCCTTTTATCTTTGGACATGGCTAGTGAGAGTTTATTACCGCATGATGTTACTTTTGGCTTTGGCTAACTGCAAATAGTCAATAAGCGTGCTTCTAAAATGATAGTATGATAAAAGTGACGGCTCTAGGAAAAGATATGGGTAGGGAAAATTTTCCATTTTGCTTCCCTAAGAGAATTTACTTGTATTGTGCTCCACATAAGACTTCTTTTCATCGATACTTATAGAAATGCATGTATAATTTGGGCCGACTCAATTACCAGAACTGGGCCCAAGTTGATGACGGGTCGATCTGTTAACCGGCCTGGGTTCAATTCCAAGTCAAAACATTGACCAAAATGGAAGTATGTACAATTGCAAAGTTCTTCAGTCATATACACAACTAGATGTGTAAACAAGACGACCCAAGCTTCTGATACTCGATTAGTATCAATATTAACGACCCTAGCTCAAGGCATAATGAGTCGAGCAATAAAATTAAATAGAAATTCAAGCCTAAACGAGCCGAGTCGTTAAATATACAAGTTCGAGCTCACGAGCAGTTCGTTTCATAATAGCTCTAGACACAAATGTGTCACCAACAAAGACCAAAAATGAAAGAAAAATAAAAAAATCAAGTCTAAATTTATTCAAGAAGGCCCCATGAACTGGGATTAATTCTTTGGGTTAAAAAATGAACAGATTAGGATGGTATAGGCAAACTCCTGAATACAAAGCAGAATACCCAGAAGGTATATTGTTAACAAATCAAAACAATAACAAAAAAGGGGGAAAAAAGGGGAAGAGCTTAGAAGATAATTGCGACAATGTGGTTCCACTCCTTTCCCGAGTCTTTCAAATCTAAGCAAAAAATTCAAACGAGCGGTCGAAAATGGTGCCACAGCCTCTGTAAGAATTTAGCAACATCAAAGACAGTAGAGATATACATACGTACTTAAAAAGATATTAACTTCTCATTGTGAACCGAAAGTAACTTGCTATATAAAAAAAAAAAAGGAATACCTTAATTAAAAATTACAACTCTTCATCACTCTCATTGTCCAAGTCGTCCAAAGTCTTGAGGTGGCCATACCTATACAATGATGAAATAAGTCGATGTCGTTTGCCAACCAAAACTATTTTTAATAATCCCATCGACCTTTGAGTGAGAAAATATGTGTTTGTTCAATGGAATTGAAAATGTCCATGCATATGATCATCTAATTTGTTCAAAATCAAAGCTATACCATAAAGTTTATGGTTTCACCCTGCAGGGTGACATATATCAAGAAAAATAACAAATAAAATGGACAGCACAAAGCCAGACACCCATTCAGACTTGCTATGTCTTATCTAGTCCGTAGAGTTTGTATCGATTAATAAATGATGCAAATCAAGCTGACTATTACTCAGGAAGTTAGACCATGAGTGGTTTAAGTCCTTATACAACAATGTTCAAATTTAAAGCTTAAACAGCAAAGGAAAATCATCGAACAATCAAATAACCTCATTCTGCACACTTAACCGCTACCTGAATTGTGCATTAGAATGTTTAATAACTTACAAAGACTAAAGAAGTTTGTTTCTTAGAAAGCTTAATATAGGTCTGAAAAATCCCTCAGATTGAACAAATTTCAGTCAAAGTGACTTCCAAAAGCACAGAAAATCAACAATTCAAGAAAAAGCCTACTTAAACTAAAACCAAAGGAACTAAAAAGCAGCTACTTTTACTCGTTGGAAATGCACATGGTCTGCAGGAAGAAACCACCTTGAAACCCGATTATCAGCACAGGAATACTGCAGGATTTAACCTATCAAAGTTACAAGAACAAGGCAATCGAAACTTACTCTACAAAATACTCTGCCGAGAATCATCCCGTAAGGAATCGGGCCGAGTTGTCGTGAATCACGGGACGCATAGATATTGTCCCCTTGAATCCACACGTGACCCTTTGGCACCTATTTCAACCATAGCATCATTCCACATTAGAAAATTGTTTTCCTAATCAAACAGGAAAAACAAAAGAACCACCAAATGAAGCAGAACATAAATGAAAAGATCACTTGATATTTTATTTGAAAAGATCAAACAGACATAAAAGAAAAAATACCAAATTTCTACTTACTTCCACTCCCAAAGCCAACATTTTACTCACAACTAGCAAGAGAATTAAACAATAACAACAACAACAACAACAGCTAAAACAATCGCTGAAGAAGGTAACCATATCCATTACTCATCCATACCACTAACGAGTGAGAGCGGTCGCTTCCACTGGGGTCCACCAAGAAGGTGACCACATCACCTTCCAACCCCAGAACGCGCTTCGTTATGGACTTCCGGGGATTTTCCGGCGACCGGACCACAACGACGTCGCCGGGGCCCACCTTCCCCAGCCTGTGCGACAGCTTGTCGACCAGCAAAACGTCTCCGGTGAAATTAAGCGTCGGGAGCATGCTCGGGCCGTAGACCTTTATCGAAACCAAACGTGTCAGCTGCATAATTGATTTCGAGCGAGGGGAAATTGGGGGAAAAAGGAAGGTAAATTAGCTTACTAGGGTCGGCGAGCAGATGTAGGCGTCGGTGACGTGAAGAAGGGAGAGAAATTGGGCGAACACGACGGAGTGAGCCACGGCTTCTTTGGCCGTGGAGCGCCATTGACGAGCGAATTGAACCAGCTTCGAAGCGCTCATCGTCTCGATGGAGTTATCCCATTAATGGCGCCCAACGCTCAAAAGCTGGCAGTGTATGTGAGGGGTAATATGGTAAATTCTGTAGTCATTTGTCATTTTCTTTGTATTTCTTATTAATTTTCTTCTTTTTAAACTTTTACCTTTTTCTTTATTAGTAGATAATTCATAATTGGTAGTGTCTTCTAAAGAATTTAACTAACGAGTCCCACTTCGATTCGGCTTTTTATATTTTCAGTATTAAACGCTTTACTTATTATCGATTATTATATCGGCTCAAGCTCGTTAAATTTAACGAATCGAATGTGGTTCGGCTTAATTAAAACTCGAGTATCAGGAGCTCGAACTCGATTCAACCCATTTACAACTATAATTATCACTAGAGCCGGCCCAGGCCAGGGCGACCTGGGCGACGGCCCAGGGCCCCAACAAAAAAAGGGGCACCAATTTTACACATTACATTATATATAGATATATATGTATTATGAATGGGCCCAACAAAAATAAATATAAGCCCACTGCCCATATCCAGGAGAGAGACCTCAAGCCTACCTAAATTAAATAAAAGCATTTCCGTGCGCGTGGCCTTTCTGCTCCAATTCCAAATGCCATCAGAATTAAAAAATAAAAATTAATAAAATCCCTATTCCCCAAATTACTGGCAACAAGAAGTCGATATTTCGTCTTCTAACTTTCCAATCTGTCATTTTCCCAACGGCAAACTTCAGGCTTCATGATATTATCTTGACTCTCATTCCAAAATTCCAATGGTAAGTTACTCAATTTTATAGATTATAAATAGCTTTTTCAATTTTTGCTTTTTTATATTCACTATTCAGCTTCAATCTGCTTCAATCAATCCTCACACATCTTGAAAATTGTCAATTTGTTACTTCCAACAATCTTAGAGTTAGAGAGTAAGATATTTTGAATCTTTTATTTATTTTGGGAAAAATTGATCACTTTATTTTGTTATTTTCAGCAAAATATTTTTTTCTACATTTGAATCTTTTATTTTTGGGAAAAAATTGATCCGAAAATTTGTTAATTTGTTATGTTTACTTCGCCCGGCTCGGCGGCTCGCTATTTGCCACAACTCCACAACCGGGCCTAACGCCATCGCCTTCCGCTGGTGACTGGTCCGCAGACTCCTCTGCGGCTCTGCCTTCACCGTGGTAATTTTGGGACATTATTTTATTAATTTGTTAATTTTGGGACATTATTTTTATATTTGGCCCAAGGCCTAATAATTTACATGACCGGCTCTGATTATCACTACAATCAACAAAAACATAAACTTCATTATATGCCAAGCAAAGCAAGCCACAATTTAGTATATTGCAATTCCATTATT